ACAGAGCTAATGTGTCTGACATTAAATTTGAACTCAGATCTTTCTGACTCCATGCTGGGGCTCTCTATTCACTTTACCACCTACCCTTATTCTTCTCTCCTTACCTAGAGGGTAGAACTAGAAACAGTCATGGAAGGGTATAACATCCTATGTATACTCATGACTTAAGAAGAGTAGATTTCAAAAATTCAGAGAAAAGGGGCAGCTAGATGGCGCAGTGGATAGAGCACCGGCCCAGGAGTCAGGAGGACCTGAGTTCAAATTTGACCTCAGACACATGATAACATGATACTCACTAGCTGTGTGACCCTGGGCAAGTCACTTAACCCCAGCTGCCTGGTCAAAAATAACTAAATAAAAACAAACCAAAAAAAAATTCAGAGAAAAGACATATTTAAGCCCATTAGCCTAAAGGTCTCTAAAAAGTTTCCAAAAGAGAAACCACCTCAAGTGGTATGGTAAAGAATATGAGAAAGAACATGATTCTGATGATGTAAGCACAAATTATTTCACTGATGGAGAAAAGGAGGTCTCTAAAGAGACCAATGTGGCCACAATGGGAGGTCATCAAACAGTTCAGGAAAGAGAAAGATGTGTGTGAAAAAGATGGAAGGAACAGCAGCAAACTGGGGTTGAGAAAGAGAGAGTGGTAGTGTGTGGTAATACATGCCAGGAAAACAAAATGGCAGACGGAGCTGAGGTTTGTAATAAATGCATTGGACAATAAGGACATTAAAAATAGCTATGAGAAAGCAAAATGAAGAACCAAGATGAGAGAACTGCATCTTAGAAAGGAAAATTATCTTTGGACTGGGAAGACCAGAACATAGATGGGTAACTGGAGATTAAAAACCAACACTGAAAGCAAGATAAGTGAGGAGATTGTAAGAAAACACCTAGTTGTTCTTAAATCCAAATCACCTGGCCCTGAAGGATTATATCCTAGGCTAGCAAAAATTTAAAAAAAAAAAACAAACACCAAAACAAAAATCTGCTGATGATCTTTGAGTAATTGAGGTAATTGGGATGAATGCCATGAAACTAAAGATAGGTAAACATTGTGCTGATTTTCACACAAATAGAGTCTTCACGGTAGAAGGGCCCTAGGAGGCCATCTATCCCTTCTAAAGCACATGAAACAAATGGTCACCCAACCAAAGACTTCCAGAACTGGGAAATCATGACCTTCCCACACAGCCCATTCCAATTTGGATAGTTCTAATTGTAAGGAAGGTCTTCCTTACAACAAGCCTAATTTGCCTTGCTGCAACTTTCACAAGAGACTAGGAACATTTCCTAGAAACACTTTCTAGGTGAGGAAGACACAGATGAGCAAAGAAACACAGAACATATATTATCTCTTGGCATCAATTCTTCAAAACAAGTCACTTCAATTCACCCAAGCAAAGTCACATCACATTCAAACAGCTCAGAGTATTAATTCACCCCCTATACCAAGGCAATCAGATACAGAATTCTGGGGGATTAACAAATGACTGTTACAGATGTTTTGTTTTTAATTAAGGGGGCTATTATTTTTTAAGTTGTACATTTAAAAATAGTAAGTTGGCTTCACTACAATGAAACGATCAGAAATGTTTCACTCATAAATTGACCTTTCAGTTTTTCAAGATTTTTTTCTGATTCTCTGCCTGAGCAAAAAAATTTTTAAATTTTTATAAAATTTATTTTATTAATTTTTATTAAGTTTCACTTAACTGGGTTCTGTCAGTTTGACCCTGAAATTGGCAATAATGTGGATTATATGTAGAGATCATTGGGAAAAAAACAAAACAAAACCCAGTAAATCACCACCAGTGCCTGTAACACCTATACTAACCTCTCTTGAATTTCTGTTAAGTCAGGGCACATGTAGTTTCTTTCAAAAAATGTACCTTTTTGAAAAAATCTCTTCATTTAAAATTTTCTAAATACACATTCCAAATGTTTAGATCTGGTTTTAAAAGAGCTATCCAAAAGTTTTGCTTTGCTTTACATTCACGTAATCATCTGTTAAGAGTCAGTAAGTAAGACAGGAACTTGGCAGTCTGGCTTTTCATGGCAAAGTACCACATTAAAAGACCTTAGTTAAACTAGAATAAAGCAAATATACAATGGAAATTCCCAGCAGAAGGTTCAACTACATGGAAGTTATTCACATGCTGGAAATTGAGAATTGGGCCAATCACAAGGGAATCGCCTCTAATAGCCTGGAGATTGATGTATCAAAGGCTATTTTTTAAAAAGTGTGTGACCAATAAATATGATGAACATTTCTGTAAACATGCTTTAAACTATCATGATACATATCATCTCTTTGGTGTAGAGCTAAAAATGACTTCAGATGTCATCTAGACCAACTCACATTTTGTAGAACCTGAAGGTCTGGAGAGATTATGTTTCAATCTCACACTGGTAGTGAGCAGCAGTCAGGATCTGAATCTAGATCCAACATTCTTTGCCTTATATTTTCCTGCCTCTTTGGTCATACAATATACTTCACTTATGGAATGGAACAAAACAATTTAACAACATAACATAATAACGTAAAATGATCACAGGAGTGTAAGACATAGAACACTGCCTTTCTTCCAACCCATTCATCCAAAATAAAGGCCAAGAAAGGCAAAGGTAGACAGTGATACTACGCATAGGGATAAAGAAGGTGGTACAAGAATTCCCAAATTCCCCAAGGAGACTGAAAAATTATCCAAGAACATTCTATTAAATTATGACAATGAATAAGTAACATCCAAGTTCTCTTACTTTCTCCCCATTTGGGGCTACCTGTAAGTCTTCCTGTACTCTCTTAGGTTTGCAGATAAAGTCTCATAAAGCTTTTATTTGGAGATTCACTGTAATTTATATCCCAAGGAACACACTGAAAAAGTCACATCATAGGCTTACATATCAACATTTAAAACATCCATCTTTATAAGTGGTCACAATATATGAATAAAATTTATAATAGGGGAAACACTGTAAATAAACATTTGGGGAAATGGTTAACCTTACAAATAATTGAAGAAATGCAAAAGAAAACAAACCGTAAGATGCCACATCACACTCATTAAATTAGCAAGAATAAATAAGTATGAAATCCAACGTTGGCAGGGTCATGGGGAAACAGTGCTACTCTGTTGTCGGCAATACAAATCAGCACAGCTTTTTTTGGAGAACAAAATTTGGCATATAGACAGTAAGAGTAATAAAAATGGCACGACAACCCAGTAAATCACAACACTGGGGTAATTTGCAAATGAATTGATACAAAGGAAAAAGAGACTTACTCACACATTTTGTAGTTGTGTTATGTATAATAGCAAAAAGCAAAGATAATCTCAAAGCCTAATAGTTGGAAGAAGGGCTAAGCAGACTGTGGTAGACTGATGCAATGAAAGATTATAGTCCTATAAAGATGATAAATATGAGCAATAGGTAGGTATGGAAAAAAGTGAATGTAAAGTAAAAGAAAGCAGAATTTAGTACAATGTATAGACAATTCTGATCAGTACAAAAGTATGCTTCTATAACCAATAGTATCAGAAAGGATTAGAACTAGTTTAGTTATCGATATTTGGATGAACATTATTTGTATTTTATTATAAAGCTGAGAAAATGTAATGTTTAAAAACAATGAATTAACCACATGGCTTCACATAGAAAGTGTTTACGGTAGTGTAATATTTCATCAAACACACCTTAGCACATGTGATAAAGATCAGTCTTGCATAAATAAATGTGGTGTAATTATAGGGAATGCTGTTGGTTTATTACTTAGGAGGACAGTAAAATAAAATGGTGGGCTTTTGATTTTAAAACTGGATCATGGTATTCTAGACTAGCGGATGATCAGCCATTGGGGTTTAAGTAGAATCTGACCAATTCAATGTTGGTCAAAAGCAATGCTTTTTTAGCCCTGTGGGATATTCTAGTCTTAGGTACAGACCTATGTTGTCTTAAAAATAGGAGTTTAATCTTGCCTATGGTACAGAACACAACACATTTAGCAGCTAAAGGAGGCCTAGAAACCAATATGGATAGGGAAAATCCCCAGGATGTACCTTTAAATCAGATTAGCCTATTAAAGTTAAAATAACCAAAATCTTCTTTATCAAATATGTCCTAAAAATCTTCTTAAGTTATAGATTTTGAATTACACATAAGCTTATCTTGAAAGAGAACCAAACAAAAAATACCCACGTGAAGTTCAAAACAAGGTGGCTAGGCAGGAACATCTAGGATTCTACTTTCCATGAAGGTAAATTCAGGGAAAATATACAATGTCTCATGGGGAAGTTTTTCTTTTTTAAGGTCATTTCCATTTGGAACCAAACAAATGAATGGATATAGTTTGTGACCAGATGATGGGCAGGAAAGCAAATGGTGCAGGAACAGGTAGCAGAGAGAGAAAGGTGAATGCATGTTTAGCAAATCTAATGGAGTAAAAAAAATAAAGCAAAGTGGAAATCCTCCAATACAATTAGCATTATAACCAACTTGTTTCTCTTTTCAGTGAAAACCCACTTTTTGACCAAGATGACTCACTCAGGATGCAGAATAAAATATATATCTATAAACATGGACAATACAGGAATTTTCACGGCTTGTCTATGCTTGTGTTAAAAGAGGTTTTTTTTCTTTATTCACTGGGAAGGAAGGATAAAAATTAAATTTTTATTGATTGAAAAAAAATAAATGTTTAGAATACACTATAGAAAACAGAAACTCCAAACCAAATGATTAAAGTATCAGACTGACTCTCATTAAGGATTTAAAAAAAAAAAAAGGATAAAGAGTACATAATATCCAATTCTTAGACCAGGGTCCCATTTAAGGGAATTAGTGTGTTGTACGTACACATACACACACGCTAGAGTATGAATGGAATAATCACTGACATCTGCTTTGGAAACTGGATGTTTTCAGGCTCTTGTGAAAGGAAAATACGTCCAAAAGAAGTTGGTCACTAGCAGGTCAGTACACGAATCATTACTCACCAAGCTTTTGGTCAAATCGCCATGCAGTAACATGTGCATTGTGCCTCAGGCTGCTTTGTGGAGACAGAGGAACCGTGACATAAATAGGCCCATCCACCACGACTGGGGTCCCATCGCCGCGGAGCAGGTGAACGCTGACTGCAGTGACAGGGGTCAGGTCATACTTGGTGCTATTCCCTAAAAATAAAAGCCGTCAGTTTTGTATATAAGTACATGCAAACTCCAGCAATGGGGGTGGGAGGCATGGGGTAATGTGGCGGCAGGGTCATTAGGGAAGCGTAAACACTCAGAGTATCTGAGAATTGGAAAGGATATCAGAGTTCATCTAGTCCAAACCTTGGAAATATGGCACTACAGGTTAGAGCAACAAACTTGAAATAAAGTGACATAGGTTCAAATACCCCTTCAGACAACTTAATAGTTTTGTGACCCTGGACAAGTCACTTAACCACACTAGGTGACCTCCATTTCATCTGTCAAATGAGGGTAAGAAAAGCACCTACTTCATACAGCAGTCATGAAGATCAAATAAGGTTGTGTTTTATAGTGCTTTGCTATGCTTAAAGGATTATATAAAGACAAACCATTATTATTCATTTGTAAAAATGGAATAATAACATTTGTATTATTTATCTCCCAGGGTTGTTGTGAGGGAAACAATTCCAAACTATATAAATAGTAGCCACCGAGTATTAATAGAGCACTTTACGGTTTTATCCTTACAACAGCACTGGGAGGAGGTGCTATAATCATCTCCACTGTGAAGATAAGGAAACTGAGGCAGACAGCGGTTAAGTGACTTGCCCAGAGTCATATAGCTAAGCTAGTAAGTGTCTCAGGATGGATTTGAACTCTGGTTTTCTCACTCCAAGTCTCCACTGTGCACATGTCATTCACCGTCATCATCATCATCATTATTCTACAAAATAGGATGAAGAGATTGTATTGAGTTGCAATTACTGTCGGACAAGTACTAAAATCTCTGTCAATAAATTCTTGCACAAATTAAGTCCCATGATTGAACTCCAAGCACAAAAAAATAGGATTTTAAAATTAAAATTAAGTTTATTGCAACTATTTAAATTACACAAGAATTACTTCAAAATCTTGGCATTTGTACTCAGAGTAGCGAAACTATGGAAATGAAACATTTGTAACATCTCTTAGTTCCCCAACTAATGGGCATCTACTTTGTTTCCATTTCATGGCTATCACAAAAAGTGCTGCTATGAATATTGAGAGAGAGAGGGAGAGGGAGGAAGAGAAGAAAGGAGAGGAGGGAGAGAGGGGGGAGGAGGAGGGACAGAAGGATGGAGCAGGGAGGGAGAGAGGTACTGAATGTACCCACTGTTCTACATTAGAACACATTTTTAAAAGCCAACACTTTAATGATTTTCTAATCTACAGCCAAATTAGAAGCTGCAAGACAGGTTATTAACACACTTTTAAGAATTAAGGGGGCAATTAGGTAGCGCAGTGGATAGAGCATGGCCCTGGAGTCAGGAGGACCCGAGTTCAAATCTGGCCTCAGACACTTGACACTTATCTAGCTGTGTGACCCTGGGCAAGTCACCTAACCCCAACTGCCTCAGAGGGGGAAAAAAATTAAGCAAGCCACTTTGGATTCCATTCTCCTGTGAAATGTAACATGAGGATAAATATATTATTTCATAATTGCTCATCTTTTCTTCCAGACTTATGGACACATCAGAGAAAATAGAGTGAAAAGATTTCTACTGACATATATGATCACCAGTCTTTCCTGCAAGCATATCATTGTTTCCTTATTACAAATGTAGCTAGAATTGGATTTAAATGTTACAGAATGAATTCACTGTCAGTTCAACCACTAAGCAAAGCAATTTGCTGTAGTATCTAACACCCTTTGACCCAAAGACCTTCCTCTGAGGAATAGACTCCAAGGAGGTCAAAGACAGAATGGTTCCCCAACTCCTCCCTCTCTCTGTCTGTCCCCTCTCACTCCCTCTTTCCTTTTCTCGCCCCCCCCAATCCTTCTCCCTCCTTCTCTCTCTCCCCCCCACTCTCTCCCTCTCTCTACTCCCCTTTTCCTCCCTTCCTCTCCCTCTTCTTTCTCTACCCCTTTCTCTTTCCCTCCCTCCCTCTCATTTCCTCCTCCCTTCTCTCTCTTTCTCCCCCCACTCCCTCCCTCTTCCTCCTCCCCTCCCCCCTCCTCTTTCCCTCCCCCTTTCCTTTCTTCTCCCCCCCCACTCCCTTTTCCCCTCCTCCCCTCTCTTCTCTCTCTCAATATTCATAGCAGCACTTTTTGTGATAGCCATGAAATGGAAACAAAGTAGATGCCCATTAGTTGGGGAATAGCTAAATATGCTGTGGTACATGAATATAATGGTAATTACTATGCCATAAGAAATGACGAGAATGAATAATTCAGAGCAGCACAGGAAGACTGGCTATGCCTACCACTCACTAAGGCCAGTCCTATTTTGATCCTTCCTCCTACTCTTCCATCTTGGCTCCTCCAAGACCTCTCTCCAATAGTCACCTCTTCCTTGCCCCTCATTCACTCTCAGTCTCTACATTGCCACTGGCTCCTTACCATCTGTGCCAAAACATGCATTACACAGTACAAAGAGCACTCAATTTGGAGTCCAAGGACTTGAGTTTGAATCATGCCTCTAGTATTTTTTATCCATGCAGCTCTGGGCAAATCATTTAACTTCCCTGGACCTAAGTTCCTTCCTGGGAGTTAGATTAGATGACAATCAATCAATCAACAAGTATTTATTAAGCACCTACTATGTGCCAAGCACTGTACTAAACTGAGGATGCAAAGACACAAATGAAACAGTCCCTGCCCTCAAGGAGCTTAAGTTCTAACAAGGAAAACAAATAAACAAGCCATGTAGAGAAAAGAAGGGACTGGGATGAGGGTTGAGTCTGTAAATTCACTGGAATAGAGACCTTGCAGATACGGAAAGCCCCTCTAAGTGATGCAGGCTGGTACCTTCTCTGCAGCACAATCTTACAGCAGAGTTCTGAACCTTTTGTGTGTGTCTTGGACCCCTTTGGTAGCACCTGGAGTGAAGCCTGTGGATCCCTTCCCAGTATGTTTGCTTCCTACAATTATAAATGAAGGAAATGCTGAATTTCAGTTAGAGGTTAGTACAAATAAAGAGGTAATTTTTTTTATTGCTCCAAATTCACAGAACCCCTGAAATTTCTCCATGGATGTTTGAGGATCCCAGTTAAGAACTTCTAATTTAGAGAGTTGCTTAGGGTACCTTAGGGTTCCTTTGAGAGTTCCCAAAATTGGGATAACTCCTTTAATCCAGACGTGCCTTCATTTAAGACAGTTCAATATGCACTAGCCTAATGCACATACATAAACATGGTGTAGTAGAAAGAACAATGGATCTGGAGTCTGAAGTGATTTTGATTGTTGTTCGGACACATCTGACTCTTCGGGACCCTATCTAGGGCTTTCTTGGCAAAGGTATTGGAGTTGTTTGCCATTTCCTTCTCCAGCTCATTTGACAGATGAGGAAACTGAGGCAAACAGCACTATTTAGCAAGGGTGTTATTTTGAAATTGCCCTTCGCTGCTCCTTTGTGGCATTTCAAGTGCGGCTAATAATCTTGTCAAGAGAAAATTGCTTTGTTCTCCTAGATACAAACTGAGTGAGATTCTTTAGAGTTCATTCAGTAAGTCCTAAAGTCATAACTTTGGGATAAAAGAGAAGCTATAAACAAAGTGAAGTCAGAGTATGATGACTACCTAAAGTGCTGGCCAAGAGGGCTAATGCATTTGTCCAGAAGATCCTGCCTCCTCCCACCCTCCAATCCTATAGGAATATAAAGTAAAGAATCAAGCCCTGTATTATGTATATATGCACATTACTCAGAGTTGGACCTTTTTCAGAGAGAGGTTTTAAATAAAACCCTATTCTTCTTAAGTAAGCATCTCAGTTATTCTAGTAGGAAACAAAGGCTAAATATAACCTTCAAAAGACCTTCTCTTTTTTACCTCTCAAATAATAGAAGACTGAAATAAAGCAAACTAAAAAAAAAATAATCAATAGCTTCCCTCCTTTATTTTCTCCTTCTTCCCCAACTGGCTCAGATTTCATAATTTATTTAATAGCTACTGGAAATGGAGTCTATACAAAAATTCTAATTAATGAGCTTTAAGTAATGTGGGAAGCTCTCCAAGTTCAAGGTTTTATAATATGATACTGTTTTTTTAAAGGATGAATTTTGATGATTCCCAGACTTTACTATAGTTGTGTTATCATAAAGTGAAAGAGTCTCACCTTCTAAACCCCTCTTTCAAGAAAATGCAACATCAGTTGTGGCATGCTTACTCAAGACCAATCACAAGTTTGACAGCAAAGCACTATGTAATAAAGGCATTGACAATATGAAAAATTAAAAAGGGAAGAAACATTTTTTAAAGAGGGGTAGCACTTAGAAAAAGCCTGAGCAACAAAATCATTTCACTTTGGGTTCTAGCAAAAAGTTTCCTTTAAGCAATATGTAATTGGTAAGATCTTTTAGGGTTAGGAAATTCATTTAGGCCCCTTCAGTTTTCATTTAACATGCAGGGGCAATCATTCATTAAACTGAACTTAGTTCTCCTGAAGGTAAACAAAATGTCACCCAAAGAAAATTATACATACTCACCTGGCTGGATGCGGGTCAACATCCTTCTTTTATATTTTAACTAGTCTAATGAGTGTTTTTATTATTGCCACTCCTGGCAATGAGGAGAAGACAAGAAAGAGAACCCAAGGTTCCTGATTTCTGGAAATCAGGGCTTCTGATATTCTGGGTTCCCGATTCACTAGGACAAGAATAAGCAACTTATAGTGCATTTGGAAAGGCCAAGCTATGACACAAGACCCCAGTACAAGGTCTAAGGCTAGAGTCTCCAGTTTTTTCCTGATGAGATGGAAATGGCTTCAAATTCCTATGGTCTTAGTGGTTCTAACTTGGGAAGCAGGGTTTGTTCAAAACCTAACTCATTACCTTCCCTCCTACTTACTCCCTACTTGTATTACCACCATCCTAGTCATTTGTGTTTTTAATCTTGGAGTCACTCCTCACTGTCAATCTCCCACCTCGTGTCCAATACTACATTGCATATATCCTGCATACTTATTACACACATATAATACATATATATATACATATGTGTGTATACACACATATACCCACCCACCACATACATATGCATTTACTTCTTATCTCCCCAGACAGAACACAAGGACTCAAGGATCTTGATCCCTACTAGTTAACACTGTGCCTGGCACACAGAGGCTGCTTAAAAAATACTGGTTCAAGTGAAGTAAGTCAGAATGCCAACTGCAACCAAGGCTTCAGTCCAGTTCCTTGGACTTCAACCAAAGAGCATATAGTGTACGGCTTTGAAATTAAGTGGCAGATAATGACTGACCAATTAGAGACCCTTTTGTTTAAAGCAAAGGCAGTAGGGAAAGGAAAAAAACAGAATGAGAGAGAGGGAGGGTGACAGATCCCCACCACCCAATGCCCCATGTTAGTGGGGCACCAGACTCCTGGGCTGCTTTTCTCTGAACTAGATCAAACACACCCCCTTCCACTCCCAGTACAAGGATTTCTGAGTGGGTGGGGATGGATTTCACTATACTTGAATCAAGTCGGGTAGCCCCTTTACAATACAACACTCCAGAAAGTGGGAATAAAGGTTTCAATAGGAGAAAGAAAATGAAGAAGTAAAGAAACTTGAATTTGTATTTCCATTTTTGAATTTTAAAACTGTTAGTTTCTCCAATATTTTAAAATATAAAAAATGAATCCTCTCGGTTGACTTGAATTAGTTTCCCCAAATAGTGTGGAATCTCCTTCTTCATTTCTTGGTATTAATAAGCACAGAATGATGGATAAAGAAACATCCAATAAAAAAGTCTTTTTAAAGAAAAACAATAAAGGGACACTGAAATTAAGCCTACAACAGAACAGACTGAAAGTCCCAATTTGTTTTCTTGCATTTTAAATATCGACTTACTTGTGGACATCTTTTCCCTCCTTAACCTACAGCTTTTCCTGTTTACGATGACCCAATATATCCAAGGACCAACACATAAAATCATTATTAAAAAGAGAAGAGATTCAAAGTACCTGTTCCATTTCCATCTAATCCTCGTAAATACGGGAAACTGTCCACTTCTGCTGGGACACTGGAAGCTGTGAGAAAAGGAGTCAGGTCACTGTAGCTGGTGTTCTCCGGCAGCTTCAGGGCTCGTCTCTGGAAATGAACCCGAGGCTGTGGCCGAGCACCTGCAAAAATGAACCACTGACTTATTAAAGGAGCAGCTTCCATTTTTAGAAAACGGAAACTAGCAAGTCAGTGCCTTTTGGAAGGTTTCAGTACCTCCCTTCCCCTCCCCCCCAATTCCTCTTCCCCATCACTGGACACAAAGATGTGACAACATAGTATTATGTGGCTAGAAATAATAGCCCATTGTCATGGTTGTTTTCTCACAGGATGTTATTTGCTTCTTTTTTTTTTTTAAACAAAATGCTTTCCAGGATTTATTTGTCAATTTTCTTCTTGCATAACATTTGATGCTAGATGTGAGTAAAATTAAAAATGTAACCAAATGCATGGAATGGATGGCTGATCTATTAAAAAACAACTCTGTGCAAGATTTAATACTGGAAGGAATACATCCTAAACAAACCTCCTGATTAATATCTACTTTACTCTGAACACGTATGCAGACCAAGTTGGAAAAACAGAGAAAATGGAGGTGTTGCCATGAAAGGAACTCTAGATACTTATTGTAGCTGATTATTAGGAAAGAGTGGCTGCTTGCCATCATATCTGTCTGGCCAGCAAGCCCATTCTAATCGGAATAGATTATATTACAAAGTTTATGATGAGATTTCAGAGACTGTGCATCCTTTCTCATGTGAGTTTTCCCTAAAGGAGAAGGATGGGCTTATCTAAAGCTCTCTGGGGTGAACAATCACTTTGTATGACCATCTGTAGTGTCATTCTTACTCCAGGTGGAGTTTTGATTGTCAGACCTGAACTTGTTTTACCCTGATGCTATGATGACAGTAACTAAAAGTAACAATACTTAAGTGATTTGCCACTAACATAATTCAAAATTATTAGAACCAGATTCTAAAATTACATATCAGAGTTAACACTCAAATAAGTCCAGCCATTCTCTGAAAGGCATCAAAAGTTTCAAATATGTACTTCTTTTTTTCCCTCAGGTTTGTAGGTGTTATTAGGTGAGGGGCTGTTTCCTTTTGCCCCAAAGATATTCTGATGCTTTGTTGTTGTTGAGTTGTTTCAGTCGTGTGTTAGAGTGTGTGTGTGTGTGTGTGTGTGTGTGTGTGTGAGTCTCCATGATCCCATTTGAGGTTTTCTTGGCAGAGATACTGGAGTGGTTCGCCATCTCCTTCTCCAGCTCATTTGACAGATCAGGAAACTGAGGCAAATAGGGCATTGGTACCCTCTTGCTCCATTAATAAGTGACTTGCCCAGGGTCACACAGCTAGTAAGTGTCTGAAGCCAGATTTGAACTCAGGAAGATAAGTCTTCCTGATTCCAAGGCCAGGACTCTATCCACTATGGCGCCACTTAGCTGCCCTCTGAGACTTTAGCACTCTCCAAAGATAATTTCTGATAAAGAATGGTACAAGGGAAAGAGCACTGGTATGGGATTCAAATTCTGCTTTTGATGCTTAAAACATGTGTGACTTTAAAAAGTCATTTCCATCTCCCCAGATAACAGTTTCCTCATCTGTGAAAAGAGGTGCTTGGACTAGATGGGCTCTGAGTTCTCTTCTAGCTCTTAAGTGTATGATCCCTGCTGGGCACTCAGTGTTAAGAAACGATTAGTGGAGAGTAGAAACCATGCTTATGTGGATAGAGCACGGGCCCTGGAGTCAGGAGGACCTGAGTTCAAATCTGGCCGCAGACACAATGACACTTATCAGCTCTGTGACTCTGGGCCAGTCACTTAACCCCAACTGCCTCGAAAAAAAAAAAAAGGAAAAAGAGGCAGGCTTGTTTGGGAGTCAGTTGTCCCTGGTACCTCTGGGATCTCCACTGCTCTAGCCCTCAGTTTCTTCATCTACACAATAACAGAGGTGGACTAGATGACCCTAAGGTCCTTCCCAGCTCTCTAACATCCTCATGACTTCAGGAGACAGGTAGGGGAATGAACCTGAGAAGAGTAGGAACCAGCTGGAGCTCTGAAAGAATCATGGAATATCAAAAACTCTAAGAAGGCTTAGAGATCCATCTACTTGTCTCATTTTATAGCCATGTAAATTGAGGTCTAGAGGTTAAACCAAACCTAAAACTTCTAGATTGGGGGCAGGGTTCCTTAACTATATGACCAGTGAAAGTGTTGAATCCCACCAGACAATTCCAATATGGAACAAATCTGGCATTCTGATCTCTGGCACACAGGTTAGTGCAAAATCAAGTCTGTGTTCTCAAATGTGACTACCTTAACCAAGATTAACTAGGTTATCATGTTAGTCCTGTTTCAAAATATTAAAGAACTTTCTCTATCCTTTGCCCCCAAAACTAAAACTTCTCTGAATACTAGCCACCTGGACTATATTAACTCAGAACTAAGGAGTACAAAATCTTAGCATCTTAGATCTGAAGGCCAACTCCCACCTGATGCATTCACGAAATTCCACTACAAACTTCTGAACAACTTTGGTCAACCTTGGTCGACTGGTCAACCTTGACTCCATTCTACTTTACCTTTTGATTCTCCTAGGCTTTTTACAAAATCCTGAGGACAAAAATCAGATTTTGCATCTCCCTTGAAATCCCCTTTGTTTAGTCTGTATAAAGTTCAAGCTTCTTGCAGTCACCACCAAGGCTCTGCGCCCTTCCAATGAGCTGCTGGCCTCCCCCACAGCCTTTCTAGCTTCCTTCTCTCTGCCTACACATGCTGCCTGCTTCCTTTGGTTCTTTTGTCCATACTGCCTTCTGAGACTGAGTCCTTCTTTATTTGGCAATTGACCACTGCCCTCTTTTTTACCTCCCCAAAAACCTACTCAAGCACTTATTTCTTCTATGAGTCTTTTCCATGACACTGAATCTGTTGAGATTTGAATCACTTTCCTCCAATGTATTTCAGTGCAAACAGTACTGCCTGTGTTACCCACTCCATAAACCCTGAGGGCAAGGGCTGTGTGCAATATATGCCAGGGAATAAAAAGCATTGCTAACATTTGGGAAATAAAACCGAAGGCTTTTTTTTTTTTTAAAATGCAACATGACAGACTTATCTTGTCCTCTTTCAGGCCAAAGTAGAAGGCTAAATAAAACCAGAGTGTGTAGTGGGGTTAAACATCTGTCCATGTCAGCGTTATTTACACAACTTATCTCAGGGCCCTTATACTCCATTAGGAAAAATCCACATATAAGATGCATGGGATGATTCAGAGGAGCACCATTCAGAAAGGGTGTCTCTGTCTTTCTGTTGTCTCTGTCTCTGTGCTTCTCTCTGTATGTCTGTGTGTATGTATGTGTGTGTGTGTGTGTGTGTGTGTGTGTGTGTGTGTGTCTCTTTCCTACATACACTTTTGGTTGAGGACTACTAAACAGAGATTAAAAACAGTGACTTCAGGAAACTGACCAGAATACCAATACCTGGGGGAAAAAGGGAGGTTCATAAGTTATCCTAAACTGCCAGCTTAATGGAACTTTATAGTGACAAATGGTCATGCTCTTACATTTATTTCATCATTCAAATTTCCAAATTTTCCAAAAGGAATCTGATTTGGGAGATAAAGGCATGGAGAAGTATTGTAATAATGGACAATTATATAGCTCTTTTTAAGATTTGCAAAATGTTGCATATACATTGTCTCATTTGATCTTCAAAATAACTTAGTGAGGCATTGTACCTATTTTGCAGATGAGGAAACTGAGGTTTAAGCCGTCATAGTCAGAAGGGTGGGATTCACATCTCTGTCTCTCTTGATTTAAGTCTAGGTTTTTCTGCCATTGTGTGTTGTGTCTCCCAACTACAGTGGGCATTGGTACCCTCTTGCTCCATTAATAAGGGTCCTGCCTTAACCCCACTGGCTAGATTGGCTGGAACAAAGTGGGAGCCACAAGTAGTTTAGATAATTACTAAAGTTTATTTTTTCTATTTAACTTTGTCATAATGTGACTGGATGGTTAAAATGCTGAGGTCACTTTAGGCTCATCAAAAGTTTAGGAGATGAGTCAGAGCATGTCTTCAGAACCAAACAATTCAAAACACATTAATATCCAACTAAACCTTCTGAAAAAGAACTTTTATTTTGGAGTTAAATAGTGAAGATTTTTTTTCCTTCCAAAACAGAGATCAAATTGATTTCTTTCCTATCAAAGAGGCAAATGTACGAGCAAACTTGAGTGACACAAAATCCTCAATTTTCATGAAATAAGATATTTATTGTACTAACAGTTCGCAAAAATGGACTCACATCTCTCTCTCTTCTTCCACCCTTCCACCCATCCCCTCCTGAACCCAGTCAGTTGTTTGAAAACAATCAACAGATCTTTAGAGAGAAAAACCAAAGATTGCTAAGGTGGAAAATCCCTATGGTTGCCCAGCACTGAGCATGAGAAGAGGGGGCAAGTCCACTTGTCAAAAAGGTTAGCTCAGCATTCTTTTCAGAAGGATGACAACAGTAATACCACCATAAGATTTAGAGTGGGAGGAAAACCGAGAGGTCATCTAGTCCAACCTCCTTATTTTACAAATAAGTAAAGCGAGGCCCAGTAGGGTTTAGTGACTTGCCCAAGGTCATATAGATGGTAACAAAGACACTCAACAAATATGAAATTAGCTTTTTCAGCTGTAAATTAAAGGGGCTGAATTAGAGCATCTTTAAAGCACTTTCTATCTCTAAGACTCAGTGATCAATGTGCTTATAGGGTGTGTGTGTTTCCAGGCAGTTTACATGTATATCCACACAGGTTCAACAAAATGAGGCTCCCAGTGAAACACAAATAGATATCTTTGGCATCCTGCTCAACCCTTTCTGAGGGGAGACCTTCATTTCTGCCTAGAGGAGATCAAAAGGGGCCAGGTATGCAGGTACCTTGCTCTCTTCAGAGAAGGGATCCTAGACTAGAATCAAGCCTATCTTTCCCCCCTCTAAATGTTGCTAGCACAAAGCCAATGATTTTTAAGTTCAAGATTTAAGGGCTTGTTCCTTAAGGATGAAGGAGCTGGTCTAAGCTATGTCTAAAGGTCTGACACCTTTCCCACCAAATACCAGTTAAACAAAGGCCATAT